TACATAAAATCATGAAGCTACTGAAGAGGACACAAATATTTCTTGCGAAATTTATGAATAGTGCAACTTTTAAAACGTTGGGGGTGGCGAAACACCCCACTGCACTACCCCAGGGTTAAATTGTCCTTTCAATTTATATTTTTGGTCACTGTAGGACACTGTATTTTTATTTTGACTATTAAGAGAAACAACAAATTTTCAACTTACAAAAAAGTTAAATTTGTGTAATTGTTTTGTTTATGAAATGTTTAAAAAATTGACTAATAACTTTTGAAATCAAAAGAATGAAGCAAGTAATATTTATGGCTGTCTGATCTTGTATAATAAAAAATAAAACTTATATTAAGAAATTTATCATAAAGTATAAGAGAATTTATTTATTGAAAGTTTTTGTTAAATTTTATTTAATTGTATTTAATATTTAAAAATTTTCCTTATTTTAAGCAGAGAAAATGAAATTAAGCCAAAAAAAATTGTTACATTGAAGATTATTTACACATTTGCAAACTATATCCTTTTAACTTTTAGTGTATTTCTATAGACTGATTGTTCTTAACTTTCCACAAATTGTTGTTTATGTACATGTTTTGAGAACATAATTCATTCATAAATCATAATTTGCATTGTGAGACTTTTCTAAACATGAAATTGTAGTTGCTCCTAATTAGAAATATGTATTTTTTGTGTGTTTTTACTGTCACAACCAAGTGCATAGACAGACAACAGGCATTTCCGACATCAACTTTTATTCTGGAATATCTTGTTGGCCGAGACAAAGAAAGTTTATCCGACATCGATGTAGTTACAAGTCGAGTGAAAGGAACTATGTTGTATGCCAGAATTTGGTTTAAAATATTTCTATTCAAAAATTGGATGTAATATTACATGATCACCGACAGAAGAGGGGCTTATGCCCAAAATGCATCTTGGCCAACAAGATATTCCCAAATAAAGTTGATGTCAGAAATGCCTTTCGGATACTACAATTTTAAGACATGTTAAAGATATGGCTAATTTTTGTGAAAATGAGCTCTTAAGATGTTTGCAAGCTTCTGAACATGGATTTATTATTCAACTTGACTAAACTACAGGTATAGCTGGATTAGCGATCTAGCTCGTTATTGTGAGATACATGCATGGAATGGCTGCTCAAGAAGATATGCTAATTTGCAAAAGTCTGCCAACCAGAACAACTGTGGAAGAAATTTTTAATTTGATAGATTCATATTACATATGGACAGAGCCAAGGCAATGCTTGGTAAATTGAATGGCATAGTTGCATGCATGAAACAAAAAAATCCTCACATGAGAAGTACTCATTGTTGTCTTCATTGACAAACTTTTGCAGTGAAGAAAATGCCAGAAGAGCTAAAAGACATACTTAATGATTGTGTTAAAATTATAAATTTTATCAAATCAAGGCCATTAAATTCAAGAGTTTTCAATTTATTGTGTGAAAGTATGGGAAGTTTACATAAAACACTACTGTTGCACACAGACATCCGTTTGTTATCTCATGGAAAAGTGTTAGCAAGATTTTGTGAATTAAAAGATGAAATAAAAAATTTCTTATCCGAACATGCACCTCAATTAGCTCAAAAATTAAATGATGCAGTCTGTATTCAGAAAATGGTATATTTAACAGATATTTTTACCTATTTAAATGAGCTTAACATATCACTCCAAGGAACAAATGTCAATATTTTCAAGGTACAAAATAAAATTGATGCTACTCTTTTAAAATTGAAATTTTGGGCAGATTGCATTTTGAAAGAAAATATTGAATGCTTTCCTAATTTGCACAATATTTTAGTAGACAGTAACGCTAATCTCGATAAAAATGTAAAAATAAATTTGGATAATTTCCCCAGCAAAAAACATTTCGTGAATGTTTTCCTGTTCAAAAAGAAAAAAATTATCTTGAATTCAAAACGCTTTTCAAGACTGTGACACCTCCGAACTCCCAATAAAAGAAAGAGAACAACAAATTGATATATCGACCGACATTCAATTGAAACTAAAATTTAATCAAATTGATATTATGCATTTTTGGATTGACATTAGGAATGAATATCCTGAAATTGCCAAAAGAGCTGTGAAACATCTAATGTCATTTGTATCAACCTATGTATGCAAAAACTCTCTCTCTTTGTATGCTGCCACAAAAACAAACTACAAAAACAGATTGGATGCTGAAGATGACATTAGGTTGCAGATTTCAACAATTATTCCTGATGTAAAAATGCTTTGCGATAAAAAACAAGCGCAGTCAAGTCATTAAAAGAATTTTCTTTTTATTCATTTGTTATAATATAAAATATTGTTCCTTTTGTTAATTATTCATAAAATGTATTCTAGAAAATAAATAAAATAAAACCTGATTTGCCACCTCACTATTCATTGTCTTATTAAGATGTTTGTATTAAGATTAAATAAAGATACAAGAATAATTTTGCAAATTAGAGTACAAAAAACCTTTGATAAACTATTTTATATGATACTTAAACATGAGATTCCTTCAAGAAAACCATGAGCTCGAAGGGTTCCTAAAAGTGTAAAAGGTTGAAGACCCCTGCAATAGAGGATGTGGGGCGATTAAAGATGAATGTATTTGAAGCCATTGACCATTATCCAGAGCGCATCAGAAAAGCATGCAGAGTGGCTTCAAGCATGCCAACTTCTCAAGCAAGTGTTGAGTGTATACAGTATTTTCTGGATTAAGATTCATTTTAAGTGATAATAGGCAGTCAATGAAGAACAATTTGCTGTCTGCCATTTTATTTATGAAAATCAATGAATAAATTTTAGGTTGTATGTTAATTTTTTTAATAATATATAAATTTGTTGTAAATAAACAAGCGTTTTTTGTGTGTACTTATATATCAAAGAAAAAATTAATGTATTTCCTATAAGAATATTTTAACCAGAACTGGAGCAAAGACTTTGATGCTGGAGTGGAGCAACTCAAAAAAAAATGGTCGCTCCAAAGCCCTGATTAAAAACACTTAAGATCAGGAATGAAGACAAAGGAACATTCTAGTAATTCTTTTCACCTGTATGTCCTTATTCTTATAAATTTTTCTGTATAAAATTGCTTGAACTTATAATATAATAAGAGAGCACTATTAATATGTAAAGTTCTAAGCTGTCAAAGTGTTGTTCTAGAAAATGAAAGTAAATAAAAGATAATTGTTTTGAAGAATAAATTTTATTGAGTTTTTTTCACTTCAGATTCTTAATTGTAATTCTTAAATGTATATTACGTAAAAACAGCTTAACGAAATAAGTAAGTTTATTCTTTTAATTATTTAATTATTTTTTTTTAGCGTGGTATAGAGTCCATATTACTCATTGAAGACAACAGAGAAGCTAGAAATGTCATGTTGGATAATGTACCTCGTAACTGTCATGAAACATTTACGATTGTGGGAGACCAGTTATATGCATCTCCTTTTCGATATTATTCTAACTCTAAAAAGACTGCAGATTACCTGCAAGGAAGTGTTGAAGATAAAATTAGGTATGTAAAAATTATATTTTTTTTAACTTGCTTAAGTTTCCTATTACCATGCTAAATAAGTATTAGAAAAAAGTATAAATAAGAACTTTATTATTAAACAATGAAATTTTATTTATCAGTTAGTAACTTTGAGAAGTTAACTAATAAGTCTGTATTTGAGTGAAAACTTTAAATGAATATTGATTTTTATAATTTTATAAATAAAATTATAAAAATTAAGCCTTTCTAAACATCTTAAAAACAAACACCTTGTATGAAGACATATTTCTGTTAATGTGTGATTTAACAGATGACAGGAATGTTGCTTAGCAGAAAAGAATTTGGAGAAATAAGTTTACATATGATGGATTTTATTTCATTATTGAACTAGCTGTCTTTTTTCAAATATAGTTTATATTACATGTAGTTTGTATTATTTAGAAGTTTTGCTATGCATTTCATTACCATTCTTGCTTAGATTGCATAAAGTAGTTTCATTTTCTGATTTAAAATATTGAAAATAAAGTTCATTGTGAATATCTTTATTTTAAAAACAAAAGTATGACTTATTTTGGTATCCACTAAAGAGTGGTTTATAGATGAATAAACAAATTTGTTATGTCATTCTAATCCAACATTCACCACAGATCAAGAACCATCTAGAAGACAATTTTAATTGACAGAGTATTCATTTATATGCATTTTGGATCAGAGTTTTCATCAATCCCTCTTCAGTCTACAGATGATAAAAAAAAAACTATTTTGTAATTTACACTTGTTAAAACATGTAAAATTTAAAAAAGAACTTATACAAATATAATTTGCAACAGAATTAATTTTTCTCAATACATTCACTTTGCATCAATCACAGTAACAATCATCCCACATTGCATAACATTGTACTTTTATTCCTATATACGACATCATTCCAGATGTCATCTACTGACATTCCATTATTCACATTAATTATCATTATTTTTAATTGCAACTTGTTCTTTAAATTTCTGTAAATATACATCATATTCTAAAAATAAAATATTAATATTACCATTACTAATGTATATATGTATATAGTAAAAACTGCTTAGGCAACCATCTGCATTTGATGGACACCTGTCAAAATGGGCAAAAATTTCTGGCACAGAATAGTTTATACATAGAGCCTTCGTATAAGTAAGTTACCTGTATTAAATGATCACCTGTGTAACGCGATTGCAGACATTGATTTTTGGTCAGAAACAACTTATAACAACTGTAATGAGCAACCACTTCTGTGAATATATTAGTCTAAACTTCTTGTTCGAACCCACTCGGGCACTTCTCCCACTCTTGAAGTTAGGTGCAGGTGTTAATGAATTAGTCTAGCTGCAAAGGAAATTCATTTTAGTTTTCAATAGGATGACTATCACGCCAAATTAATGTATAATAATAATAAAAATAAAGACACTGCGTTCAGCTTTACATGCATTCGTTTTTTTATCGCAAGCACTTTCGACGAACCTATAGTCATCGTCCTCAGGCGAATACAAATATTTTCCAAAAAAATTAAACAGAAATAATCTGATGTAGAATAGAACGCATAAAATATAAGTTGAAACTTTGTTTTAATGGCTTTGACAAAGTTTCAACTTATATTTTATGCGTTCTATTCTACATCAGATTATTTCTGTTTAATTTTTTTGGAAAATATTTGTATTCGCCTGAGGACGATGACTATAGGTTCGTCGAAAGTGCTTGCGATAAAAAAACGAATGCATGTAAAGCTGAACGCAGTGTCTTTATTTTTATTATTATTATACATTAATTTGGCGTGATAGTCATCCTATTGAAAACTAAAATTAATTTCCTTTGCAGCTAGACTAATTCATTAACACCTGCACCTAACTTCAAGAGTGGGAGAAGTGCCCGAGTGGGTTCGAACAAGAAGTTTAGACTAATATATTCACAGAAGTGGTTGCTCATTACAGTTGTTATAAGTTGTTTCTGACCAAAAATCAATGTCTGCAATCGCGTTACACAGGTGATCATTTAATACAGGTAACTTACTTATACGAAGGCTCTATGTATAAACTATTCTGTGCCAGAAATTTTTGCCCATTTTGACAGGTGTCCATCAAATGCAGATGGTTGCCTAAGCAGTTTTTACTATATACATATATACATTAGTAATGGTAATATTAATATTTTATTTTTAGAATATGATGTATATTTACAGAAATTTAAAGAACAAGTTGCAATTAAAAATAATGATAATTAATGTGAATAATGGAATGTCAGTAGATGACATCTGGAATGATGTCGTATATAGGAATAAAAGTACAATGTTATGCAATGTGGGATGATTGTTACTGTGATTGATGCAAAGTGAATGTATTGAGAAAAATTAATTCTGTTGCAAATTATATTTGTATAAGTTCTTTTTTAAATTTTACATGTTTTAACAAGTGTAAATTACAAAATAGTTTTTTTTTTATCATCTGTAGACTGAAGAGGGATTGATGAAAACTCTGATCCAAAATGCATATAAATGAATACTCTGTCAATTAAAATTGTCTTCTAGATGGTTCTTGATCTGTGGTGAATGTTGGATTAGAATGACATAACAAATTTGTTTATTCATCTATAAACCACTCTTTAGTGGATACCAAAATAAGTCATACTTTTGTTTTTAAAATAAAGATATTCACAATGAACTTTATTTTCAATATTTTAAATCAGAAAATGAAACTACTTTATGCAATCTAAGCAAGAATGGTAATGAAATGCATAGCAAAACTTCTAAATAATACAAACTACATGTAATATAAACTATATTTGAAAAAAGACAGCTAGTTCAATAATGAAATAAAATCCATCATATGTAAACTTATTTCTCCAAATTCTTTTCTGCTAAGCAACATTCCTGTCATCTGTTAAATCACACATTAACAGAAATATGTCTTCATACAAGGTGTTTGTTTTTAAGATGTTTAGAAAGGCTTAATTTTTATAATTTTATTTATAAAATTATAAAAATCAATATTCATTTAAAGTTTTCACTCAAATACAGACTTATTAGTTAACTTCTCAAAGTTACTAACTGATAAATAAAATTTCATTGTTTAATAATAAAGTTCTTATTTATACTTTTTTCTAATACTTATTTAGCATGGTAATAGGAAACTTAAGCAAGTTAAAAAAAATATAATTTTTACATACCTAATTTTATCTTCAACACTTCCTTGCAGGTAATCTGCAGTCTTTTTAGAGTTAGAATAATATCGAAAAGGAGATGCATATAACTGGTCTCCCACAATCGTAAATGTTTCATGACAGTTACGAGGTACATTATCCAACATGACATTTCTAGCTTCTCTGTTGTCTTCAATGAGTAATATGGACTCTATACCACGCTAAAAAAAAATAATTAAATAATTAAAAGAATAAACTTACTTATTTCGTTAAGCTGTTTTTACGTAATATACATTTAAGAATTACAATTAAGAATCTGAAGTGAAAAAAACTCAATAAAATTTATTCTTCAAAACAATTATCTTTTATTTACTTTCATTTTCTAGAACAACACTTTGACAGCTTAGAACTTTACATATTAATAGTGCTCTCTTATTATATTATAAGTTCAAGCAATTTTATACAGAAAAATTTATAAGAATAAGGACATACAGGTGAAAAGAATTACTAGAATGTTCCTTTGTCTTCATTCCTGATCTTAAGTGTTTTTAATCAGGGCTTTGGAGCGACCATTTTTTTTTGAGTTGCTCCACTCCAGCATCAAAGTCTTTGCTCCAGTTCTGGTTAAAATATTCTTATAGGAAATACATTAATTTTTTCTTTGATATATAAGTACACACAAAAAACGCTTGTTTATTTACAACAAATTTATATATTATTAAAAAAATTAACATACAACCTAAAATTTATTCATTGATTTTCATAAATAAAATGGCAGACAGCAAATTGTTCTTCATTGACTGCCTATTATCACTTAAAATGAATCTTAATCCAGAAAATACTGTATACACTCAACACTTGCTTGAGAAGTTGGCATGCTTGAAGCCACTCTGCATGCTTTTCTGATGCGCTCTGGATAATGGTCAATGGCTTCAAATACATTCATCTTTAATCGCCCCACATCCTCTATTGCAGGGGTCTTCAACCTTTTACACTTTTAGGAACCCTTCGAGCTCATGGTTTTCTTGAAGGAATCTCATGTTTAAGTATCATATAAAATAGTTTATCAAAGGTTTTTTGTACTCTAATTTGCAAAATTATTCTTGTATCTTTATTTAATCTTAATACAAACATCTTAATAAGACAATGAATAGTGAGGTGGCAAATCAGGTTTTATTTTATTTATTTTCTAGAATACATTTTATGAATAATTAACAAAAGGAACAATATTTTATATTATAACAAATTAACAAAAAGAAAATTCTTTTAATGACTCGACTTCTTTTAATTCTTTTAATGACTGTGCTTGTTTTTTTATTGCAAAGCATTTTTACATTGGGAATAAATGTTGACATCTGCAACCTAATGTCATCTTCAGCATCCAATCTGTTTCTGTATTTTGTTTTTGTGGCAGCATACAAAGAGA